TTAAGAAAAGTCAACCTGGAGCCAGAGATTTCAGCCAAGTGTGACATTCTCCTGCCAGAGACAACTGAACGTGTCATGCCATGGGTGCTTTAAGATATCTCTAAAGCTGGTTGTGCAACATGGGAAGAAAATGTCTATGATGCTGTGATGAGATGAAGATATTCAAGATGTTTATAACAAATTTCTCCTGTTGTCATTTGATTTTTACTGCGTTTAAATGTAACATTTCTGTTAGCTGATGAGATGCCCAGGCCAGGATATTGCCAGCAGACAGCTTTCTCTGAACACAGTTGCTGTGAGAAGGCTGGCATACAGTCAATAGGAATTCCTCTGAATTTACTGCTGTCTGTTGATATCTTATTCTGTTACAGGCAAGTATTTAATCAAAGTTTATTGTCATTCTTTTCTGAGATTTAAGTGGGACATAAAATTTTACGATACGCATAGTATTTTAGATGACAGCTTCATTATTTCCACTGAATAATTTGAAGTGCTACAAGGAGAAATATTGATGGCAAACTGGTAATTGTCATTAAATATGCAGCATTTTTGCAAGAGTCATTTGCGCAAAAAAATAAATTTTCTAAACTTCTATGTAGCAATGCAGAACAGTCTGAAATGCACTTCCTTCTTCAGCCCTTCCCAATCATGGAGGCTACTTGAGGCTTTCATACACATGTGCCAAACTTCAAATCCTCAAAGTAATTTTGCAAGTTTTCCTGTTAAAATTGAGCATGGTGTAGTGGTGAATGTCAAAAAGAGAACACTTGGTTTGTTATTGAGTTGATCTTTTGATTACTGCTGCCTGATGGGATTTGTATTTTTGCTGCCTTAGTTGTGTCCTGTCCAGTGGACATTCCCTTTTTCCTGAGCTAGGAGAGATGTCTTTGGCAGGAGTAATTAAAAATTATGTCACAAGAGATGAGTACAACAGGTCACTGGAAAGAATGAGACTAATGCACCAGAGCTGCAAGGCAGTGTGTAAAACAGACAGATGCAGTTTAATGTTGGACTGATTCCAAAGGAAACATTCCTGTTGGTTCAGTGCCTCACCATGGAGTGCATTATTCAGGACCATGGGAGTGGCTTCTCCTTCTGAATCTGAAAAAGCAATGAAAAAAACTTAAGTTAGTGGGGAAGAAAAAAAAAGCTCTTTAGTTCAAGGAGGGGTTTAGGTCATTCCTTGTTTTATTTCCCTTGTTGGGAAGAATTTAGTTTGCTTTTAGATGAATAAGAAATCATTCCCCTCAGAATGGTACTTCTCCATGTAGCTTTTCTGTTGCCTTGTTAAAGAATTCAAATGAGGGACTGGTACATTAAGCAGTGATCAACTTTGTTAGCAAATATATTAGCAAAAATGCCATGGTTGTCTTCTCTTTTGTAATTACTGCACCCTGACTTCGGAAGAAAATGGATTAAATCTTTCCTATAAAATACTATCTGGTGAGTATATCTTGGGTATTTAGCCTTATAATCACTAAACTATTCAAGTACAGGGCAATCAATTTAAAAAATGCCATTAGAGTTGGTCAGGATGCTTGCAATAAAACATTTTGAATAGGAAACCGTAACATTTTTCTGAACTACAACTTCTTTTGGCAAAGCATGCATTCAGCAAGGCTGAGGCCAATCTGTGCTGAAGTCATGAAATAAAGAGCATGTGAGAGGGATCACTTTGGCTCCTGGGATGTTGAGGGTGCTGTTTCAACTCTTACACCCCAAGCAGATCAGAAGTTGGATGTTGTGAGTTGTGTTTCACAGGTGATGGCATGTACTTATGCTCTCAGGATGATCTGCTCCATGACCTTCCCTGATACTGAGTCAGGCTGCAGGTCTGAAGTTCCCTGGATTCTTCTTCCAGTCTTTCTTGTAGCTGAGTGTCAAATTTGCCAACCTCCAGATGCCTGGGACCTCCCCACTTAGCCAGGACTTCTGGTAAATGATGAAGAGTGGCATGATGAGCCCTTCTGCCAGCACTCTCAGTACCTTTAGGTCGATCCTCTCTGGCCCCATAGAATAGACTTGTGCATGTAAGGATTATAGAAAGATCTAGAAAGATTATTGAGCATATCTGAGATAAGTATTGCACATTCAGGGTACTGGGTGGACAGTTTGGAAGCTTTGGAGAATTTAATATGCCCTGTAAATCTGTGACGATGCATAAAGCACATTTGAGCTCTATCCTGTACTAGTATTTTTCATGGAAAATGAAGGATTATTACCTCCCTTTGTAGTATACAGTAGTTTTCTGAGAATTCTCTGCCAGGCTGCTGGTACAGAAGAACATTCCCTTTCTGCAGTAATAGAAGGCAGTAATTAAACCTGAACACAGCGAATAGAGCTATAAAGTAAATCAAAGTGAGTGTTGAATTGTACCTTCATGCACCTGGTGGTAAACTCTTTATAACAAAACTCAAAGCTTCCTTTCTGTGCTGAGGAACTGTGAATTGCAGCCTCTGTTTGCAGCGTTGCTGTTGCTGTCACCTGCTGTAAATCCAGCGTGAAAAGAAATCATGGAGTGAGGAAGTTGAAAGTGTGTTTTGCTCCTTTGTCTCCTTTCCCCACAGGATGGTCACTCCAGAATATGTGGTACCTGAGCTCATGGGTGGAGAAAGTCCCGCCAAAGGGGACCCAAGTGTGTTAAGCCATCCTCTTAGTACAGTGGCTCAAGCTTTGGAAAGTCATATTGAATCAGTGGAAAGGCTCTCCTGGGTTTCAACCAGTGGGTTTTTCTCTGATGTTTGCTTCTGTAGCACAGTTTGATTAGTGGAAAAATTGGGCTAAATTCAGAATTTGGTGGACACTATGGCTCTCTCTTGTCTATATGTAATGGAGATAACCTGTGGTATGGATGGAGGGGTTGGGGCAAGCCTGCAGGACCAATGTCCCATCTCATTCCTTCTGCCTCTGAAGCCTGTTGCTGGCTGTCCAGATGCTCCCCTGTCAGTGTCAGTGGTGGGAGAGATGTTTCACCCTACTTCACCAAAGCATATAATCTCTTGATGCTCCTGTACCACTGACTCCTAAACTCACACCTGCCCAGGACACCCTCCTGTTATCTGTTGCCGTACAGACAAACTGTCAAAATGTTAGCAGGGATTTTGACACTAAAGTGACTTGGGGAGGAAGCTGGAATAAAGCTTACAGGTTTATTTGGTGTTTTTACATTGTGGGTTTTTTTTCTGAAGGTAGTTCTCAGCATTATGTGAGCATCCAAAGCAGCAGTGGTGATAGGGGCTAGGCAAAGAGAATCTGGGACTGAGTTTAGTTTGCAGGGATGTTCTCTGTGTGTAGGGAGTGTAGTGCAAAGGCTGAGCACATTAAGCCTTTCTGGGTGAGCATAGGTGTGTACAAAGTAAAGGGAGTATAAAAATAAAGTATTTTTAACCATATCATGCAGTCTGATTGCCTGCTGGATCTGCTGTTCCTTCTCATAATACGCTTGAAAAGTTTTATTTGTGCCTCGAGAGCGATGAGCCTGTCTTCATTTAGGGATGCAACTGCAGCTAATACCACTGTGATATTGACAGCTTTATGTGCTCACAGCCTGCCTCTCTTATTTACTCACTTGTATATGTGGGGCCTTGCAAAAGCAGCACAGTTTTCTACCCTCCCAGTTATAATTGCATCCTGGGCAGCCTTGTTACGGAGCTGTTCCTAGAGTGTGAGGTGAAAGAGGCAGTTGTTGCCAATATAAATTTTAATTTTTTGTTTCTTACGTATAATTGAGCCTGGATAGTCATTTTGGTTTTTTCCTAGGTTCATAATTAAAGAAATCTCAAAGTATAGCTTTGTAACTATTATAAGGGCAAATGTATAATTGAGCCTGGATAATAATTTTGGTTTTTTTTCCTAGGTTTATAATTAAAGAAATCTCAAAGGATAGCTTTGTAACTATTATAAGGGCAAAGGAAGAGGTAGTGTTCGGTGTGACCTTGTTGTTTATAAACAGGTAGAGTTAAGCTTCCAGAAATTTCAGGTATGTAGTTGAAAATTGATGAGGATCCAGATAAACTAAGCAATAAAACAGTGTAACGAAGCCAGTGGTATCTGCTCATTGCTCACAATGTATTTGTAAGACATTAGGCGTAATTCAGTACTAAAAGGGTTATGTTCTATGAACTTCTAGGAGTTGTGATGTCCTTGCAATTCTATGTAATTACTAACATTTGTGGACATTTTCTTTCTAATTTTAAAAAGAAACAAATAGATTGTATTTTGGTTTTTGAAACCAATAGTTCTTTATGCTGTATTCCACATGCCATTCCTCATGTGCTTTCTTTTGCTGCTCTTCTGACAGTGGTTCTTTTGGTTGGTAGGTTTTTCCCCACCAGTCTCTAGTGCTCTACCTTCTTGTTAGAGGGGTTTGGAAAGATGCTTCTCATCAGGAGAGGTGCTTTGGTCCAGGCCCCTTGGGTCATCTCCAACAGAAAGTATTTTTCCCTTGGATGGGGCTGGTCCAACAGATTTTGGACCTCCTAGTTTTTGGGTGAGAAGCAAGAGTCAGAAAGAAGAGTGGTTTTATTTTGGTGAGGTTGCAGGGGAAGGGCCAAGACATCTGTCAGATCATACATACAGGCAAAAGAAATCCGACTTGGGGAATCTGCACGATTTGTATTGTGGAAATAAGTTCTGTAGGTAGAGATTGCTAGAAAATATGGGGCAATTATCAACAGTTCTGTTGATAGTTGGTATTACATCTTCCTACTGATTGAATTATCTCATCCCTTGTGCTTGCCTGCTTCATGAAGTGGACTGCAGCCAAGATGTCATGCACCAAACTTGAAACATATTTTCTTCTTTGCTTCTCTGAAGAAATATTTAAGTTAATTGCTCACGTATTAGTCTTTCAAGCCTGAAGCCTAACCACATGCTCTTTTGTAGTATATTCCTTCATGGGCAGGTGAAGTCTGACATAAAGTTAGTCTGTTTGATGCAGACCATAGTTACTGAACCAAGCTGTGCCTCCCTCCATGTCTGTCTTGTTTCATTTGCTCCAGGTGAAGAAGTGCCACATCACCTCTGCTCAGAGCTTCCCCGTCCTGAAGTTGTGGCTTGTGAAATCCCTTGTGCCATGGATTGTGTCATCAGCGAGTGGTCCTCGTGGTCTCCATGTTCCCACTCATGCTCCAGTAAAAATGCAGAGGGCAGTCAAAGCAGGACTAGGTCCATCTTGGCCCTTCCAGCTGAGGGTGAGTGGGAGATGTTTTTGAATTAGTCACTGTTTGTTCCTTTAATATGTTGTCTTGCATTCCTCAACCAAACTGTGTTCAGAGCTAATCCCAGTACTGCAGCAATGAGCAATAGCATTTCATGCCTGTCTGTGCATCAGGCCCAGGCACTAAGAGATCTTTATGGGCTTGAGTTAATGCAGGTGTCAGTTAGAGAAATTCTGTCACAGTTAAAAATTATTTACTTCAGCCTCTGAATTACTGTCTATTAAGGGCCAGTCTGGGTGTGAATTTGCTTCAGGAGAGCTGAATCCTATACCAATAAAATTACTGCATGACAGAGACTCATCATGTGAGTGTCTTTATATAGGAACGTGTTACTGACGATTTAGAGAAGAACAGTGAGCTGTAAAAATTGGGGAGACAGAAAAGGACCTGTTTATTTTATTTTATTAATGCAGACCTAGAATGTGTTGACCTTCTTGTTTTTCTAAGTAAGTAAATAGCTCTTGATGAGTATATGTGATTTCCTCTGGATCTTCATGGACACATCATTTATCTGGTTATTTACATATCAGCATCAAACTGTTATTTATACAATTTCATATTAGAAGTGTAGTCTTCTAACTACAGTTATGGTAGCTAATTTATGTGCTGGTTTATTGCTCAGAATTTGAAAGGTCTTGAGTCAAGTGCATAAAAATTCATAAAACATGAACAGGTCCAACAGTCTAAAGCCTTGTTGACACAAAATACCTGCTATTGCCAAAACTATGTGCAGTTAATGCAGCAGCAAAACACTTTTAGATGCAAATCTAGTCTAGGACAAGCTCTGTTAAGTGCTATTTTGTAAATTATCATTAAAGCCACCCACTGTTTCTAGGGCAATGTAAGGACTTGATCTTGCAAACCCTTACTCATGCAAAAGGTCTGTATTCACATAAACATCCTTATAAACACTTGTGAAGAAAATTGAGACTCTTCAGGATGAAAATAACTGTTAATTGAATGATAATAACTACTACTAAAAAAGTCTAGGAGCTAGAGGATAATTAAAATGAAAAATATTGTTGGCTTTCTATTTTCCATGGAAATAACGAAATGCAAATAACAGATAAACATAGAATTATGAAGGTGAAGTTTTGAAGTGATTTCTGGAAGTACATAAGCACAATCGCCTCAGCCTGAAAGACACTAAACTAAAAATGGTATATTTTGAACTGAATACTGTAAGTTTCTCGGAAAGGAATCCTTAGCTAATAAAATCAAACACCCCAACGTTTTTTATGCATCTTCAGCAATGGGTGTAATGGTTTGCTATGGAGAATCTCACATTTGTATACAGATGGTAATGGAAATTTTGAAGAGTGGAAGTAGATTTAATACCATTATCACTGCAATACTAAGTCACTGTTAAGTTGTTTGCTTTCTCTGCCTCTTTCTTACTCAGCTTTCCTTGTACGAATGTTGTCAATGAGCTGGAGAGTGACCAGGCTCTTGGGCTTTTTCTAAACAGCACCTCCTGCTTGCAGTGTTGCAGGCAAACTGCTAGGTTAGATGGACCATGTGGTATTTATTATCTTAAGCTAGAACTGCCTCGTTACTACTCTCCTTTGTTTAAGAGACTTTCCTTAACATTGGTATTTTTGAAAAATGGTACGTTAATTTTTCCCTGGGAAGTTCAAAATTTGAGGCGGTTATTTTCTTTTGATTTTTTTTTTTCAAATGGACCAGACAACTTGCCATTTGCTTGTTACAATTATTTATTTTTTTAACATGTGCTCAAACATGCGAGAACAAAAACTGGTCTTCATTTTTTTTCTGCCAAGTCAAAATCTTCAGGAAATGAATTACCTGGGGCATTCTCTACTCCATCATCCTATTAAACATTTCTGAGACTGAACACTATGTGGAACAGTCCATTTTCATGAAAAGATGAAGGTTAATGTGACATGATTATCCAAATCAGTGTGTTAGGTAATTTCTCTCTTTTTCTTTTCTCCCTGCTATTCATTGTGGCCAGTTGGGGTCATACCTCATTTGAGGAGGCTCAGTCCTGCAAGGCAATAGACATCCCTTTGAGGAGTGGAATACCTTCATCTCCTGTTGATTTTCGTAGGCTGTAAAGGTGCTCTGAAGCTCGTGGTATCTGCCCCCAACACTCCAGTTCTTTCAAAACCTGCAGCACTTTGGCTGTGTCACAAGTTGCCAGATTTTCCCTCCTGGATGAGAATGATTTTGATTTTAGTAATTTTTACTTCTTTCTTCCTAAAATGAGAACACTTACTTTTAAATTTCACTGCATTGCTCCTTGGCTTTTGAGCTATGAACATCTGCTGCTTTCATGGGATAAATTCAGGCTGCTGGCTAGAGTGTCATGCTTTGGGGAGGCTGTTCAAACTCCTGTACTTTGTGGATTTATCACCAGTTGCTGACAAAGTGCAGCAGCTTAGCAAAATCTTTGGACACCAGTTTGAAGGATGGTGTTTCAGAACGTAAAGGCTTTATGCTCAAGACCTGTCTTTCAAGTTTCCCCCCTTGATTTGCAGATTTGGTATCATTTGATGCATTCCTCTATCATTACAGTTCAGCATCCTCTACCAGCTCAAATCTTTAAGGCAACGCGTGAATAGAGTCCAAATACGAGAAAGAGATGTTCCTCCTTGGGAAATTAGCAAGGAGAATGAGCATAAAAATAATGCTTAATTTGTCTTTAAACCTAATTGCATGTTTGCTGAGTGATACTGGCATTTAAATGGAATTAACTTGGCTGTGTGTAGGAGTTATCAATAAGGTAACTCAGAAATATACTTTGCCTATTTCTGTTTCCATTATGCATTGGAACACAATTTTATGCAAGGCTAGTTTAATGGGGAAACAATATTTTAGAAGGTTGTTATTGCAGCCATAAAGGTCAACAGCTTTATTTATTTATTTTCTTAATGGGGAAAAAAAGACAAGATATTATGCAAACCTGACATTCTTTTTTACTTTTCCATGTCTTCCTTTTGCCATATGCCAGAAGATAAAATAGGGTGTTCTCTTGACCCTTTCCAGGTGGAAAAGCTTGTCCCCCTGACCGAGCCCTGCAGGAACACCGTGCCTGTAATGATCACCCATGTGTGCATTTCTTCTGGGAAACATCTCCCTGGAGCTCTTGCTCTGAAGATGTGCTGGTGACTGCACTCAATGCCACCATCAGCTGGAGTGGAGAAGCCACTTGTGGAGTGGGAATACAGACAAGGAAGGTCTTCTGCATGAAGAGCAGTTCTGGGCAGGTCACACCTAAGAGGTATTCAAAGAAAAGTTATTAGTGATTGTTTATACAACACATGAAGGTGTTTGCAGCTAGTGTGTGGGATCTGCAGCCTTGGATTTCATTTCAGGACTAATTCTCCAGGTACTATTCTGTCACTACTGTGAAAGGAGTACTAATATGTAGCAAAACTAAATAGCTAGCCCATTTTTAATCTTTCATGTAAATCCAAGCAAAATGCATACTTTTAGTGGTGGAGATTTTTTTTTTGCTGTAGCACCTCTGTTATTCTAATTTACAGTTTGCTGCAAATATTTTTCCTGAAGGACAGGTGTGAGGAAAATATAAAGTACATCTGAGTATACAATGTTCATCAATACATTATTAACAGTGCTCTAATAAAACAGAAGAAGTAAATAGATTTTTGAGCATTATATTTACATTCCAATAAGGCAGAACCATATGTGTGATCTGTATAGTTCAGTTGATTTACACAGCTTCTCTAATGTGATAGCAACACGATGAAATTATGTATTCTGCAGTACAAATATCCTGAATTTTGCATTGCTTTGCTAAATGGGAAAAATAAGCAGCACAGATGTTTTCCTTAATACCAAAAAATCAAGAAGTTGCTAATTATTTTTGCACCATTAATGAGTCTAGAGACTTACAACCGAGTTTCTTATTGTAGCTCTCCAAAAAATCCTGTTCGTGTAAGCAAACTGTGTTGATTTCAGTAAAGTTAATTAAAATTCTTGAGGTTAATGAGATTAATTAAATAAAAGGAAAGAAATCTAGTATTCATTTGTCTCGAATCTGTTGATATGCTCTAACTTTCTCTAATTAAACATATTGTTTATAGAGCTATATAGTGTCTAAGGTAGTTGTTTGCTCCCTCTGCTTATGAGATGGTGTAAGGGGAAATGGAACCAAAGGGGGTAAGTAAATACTTAAGTGAAGTATGTGAAGGTAAAATGGTTTTAATGGTGGAAAGGTTTTGCCAAAACCAGAGATTTCTGTACTGGAGAGTGCAGGAAGTGTCTCTTAGTGTGGTGTTGTAGCTTCAGTGCTGCAGAATTCCTTGTGTAATTATAGGATGGTTTGGGTTGGAAGGGACCTTAAGGATCATCTAGTTCCAACCACCAATGGAAGTGGTTGGATCAAAAAGGGCTGCAGAATCCTTAAAAGAACTTAGTGAAACTATTTCTTTTGCTGCTGCATTGTATAATGTTCTTATGGTGATAGAAACCTTAGACTTTAAGAAGTTTTTAGGAAGATAGTTCTAAGTGAAGGAATAAGATCTACGTGTTTCAGAATTAAGTATTACCCCATTTCTACCCAGGAGAGTCTGGAGCAGTGCTGGGTGGTGGGCAGCCCTTCTCACCACAGGCACCAGATGGGACTGGGTTGTATTTTGTGTTTGAATTGGTGGAAACTGGCCAGAAGTATTGTTTGGTTTAGAACTGCTAGAGTGAAAATCTGTCATTAATGTGGCTTCAGAAATGGGATACAATACGTAAATAAATAACTTCCCTGTATTGGCACACTATATTTTTTTTATTGTGCATTTTTGCTGCTTTTGTTAAAGAAATTACACCTCGAAGTATCTTAGAACTATCTCAGTAGCAGAATCATGACTTCCGGATTTATTTTGTTTCCTAGTAGGGATTAGTGGCATGTTCCTCTTTCAAATGGGACCATTTTGGGCTGCATGCATTGTTAAGTGTTTTTCAGTGATCTTTTTACTAGAAATTAATAAAAAATAGTGTAATTCCCTTGCTGTTCCTGTTCTTGTTCAAATACCTGTGGGTACTTGATATGCAAGATCTGCCTGATCCCAGAAAATTGTCCTTTTTCCGCTCTTC